GCCAGGAGTTGGAAAAACAATAAAATGACCAGCTACAGTAGATAAAGGTGGCTTTCCAGCATTACTTCAGACAGGTCCTTAAATAGGATCATACATTCAAATCACTGTCCTCCAGTTTGGTCTGGAGTGGATCCTGGGAAGGTGTATTTCCAGTAATTCCCTGGCTGGTTCAGGGACCATAGCATGGGGTATTTGTTCTTCCCGCATCAGAGCCTCGCCAGTCAGCACTTACAACACACAGCCATAGACATTCACTGTTTGACTGATTCCCTGCCTCCCCACTGGGCTGGCTGGTTCTGTCCACCCAGTGCTTAGTAAGCACTCAGTAAAATATTTGTTGAGTGAGTTCCTCAAAGAAGGATTCTATGCCAGGCCTTGACATTCTGCTCTGTGTTTGGCTCTTGGCTGCCCAGAACCTCTTGTGCCTATGTTGCATTCACTCCTTAGCAATGAGTGGCACCTGCCATTCTCCATGTAGGAGATAAGCTCCCCCACTCCATGCCTTTCTACGTGCTGCAATCTATCCAGCATGTCCTTCCCCTGGGTCCACCTCATCAATTCCCACCCTTTTTCCAGGCTCCTTCCAGAACATCCTTCCAGCTTCCGCCCCACTCATCCTGGGTTAGGAGTGCTCCTTGAGATATGGGGATCTGAGTCCACACCTGTCATAATGATTGGTTCCCATGTCTATCTTCCTTTCTTGACCAGAGGTCACAGATGGGCAGCCTCAGGTTGAAGCAGTCCGCAGAAGTCTCTACCACAGCCAGAGGGTTTTAAATTTAAGTTCACTGCCAAACCTTGAGGGTCAGGGTTTTCACACAAAAGTCTACATTTCTGACTCCTCTAGAAAGGCCACAGACTTGGAACCCCCAGCCCAGATTTCCACATGGCTGAGACAGGCCAGAGCCAAGGCCTGGAACCGTCACCCTCACTGTGGAGGCCCCAGCAACCAGCACAGCGCCTGGCCCAATAAAGCTTGTGAATGAAACCAGAGTGGAAAACACATTGTGCCGAATCAGGAGGTCTGGGGCTGGTTGTGATTCTGCAGACTTGTCTGGCTTTGGACTCTCTGTGGCTCCCAGTTTCCTTGTCTGTTCAATTAAAGCAATGACAGTCTCCACTCCCCAGAGTGTTGACATCAAATAAGAGAAGCTGTGAAGTGCTTAGTACGTACCTGGCATGCAGGGCTCAGTCAGCGTGAGTTATTACTGCAAGGAGCTCAATAAATATTTGCTCTCTAGGCTGAGAGGAAGTGCGAAAGGTGTCAGAGGCAGAGGTTCCTGTGGGGAAAGGGTTGAGAGACTCCCTGTGTTCAAATCCCAGCTCTAAGTCATCCACTAACTACCACCTTGGGTATTTGGCTTACCTCCATTTGGGCCTTCGTTTCCCACCTACCCAGTGGGGAAGATGCAAGCCTCACGGGGTTATTGTGAATATCAAATGTGAGCATGACTGCTGTACTAATTAACCCCTCTCTACCCATAGAAGGAGGCAGCAAACAATACTGTACTGGACAAATGCCAGTCGAAGCTGCTGTCACTGCTCGGAGAGGGTCTGGACAGGAAATGCTTAGGAGCCCTCATGGCTCCCAAATCCTCAGCCTACCCGAAACCCATGGACTGCCAGTCATGCAGCTGTCCCTTGGTTACAGAATGTAGAAGCCTGAGCCAGGTGTGGTGGTACCTCCTTATAAACCCAGCACTCAGGGGACTGAAGCAGAGGATCAGAAATTCCAGGCCAGCCCGGGCTACATAGTAAAGATGCTGTCTCAAAACAAAATAAAAAAACAAAGAATGCATAGAAGACCCTCAGGACAGACACAGAGAAGGCATTAGAATGATCTCCACATAAGATAGATGTTGCAAATGTCATAAATCTGACAGGGCTTATGGGACCCTATCTTGAAAAATCCTGCCAGAAAAAAAGTTTTAGAGTGGCTTATTGATCGGCTGGGGATGTCTGGCAGGCAGGGATGGGCCTGTCTGCCCCTCTACAAAATCAACCCCCAATGACAGAGTTTGGATGGGAGCAAGTCACACCCATTAGAAGTGAAGTTCGCTGTACAGGTGTTTTTCATCTCTCTGGAAAGATCCAAAATGCTCCTCCAATGGACTGACTAGAACCATACAGAGCAGCCACGCGGCCGCATGGGAAGAGAGAGAGAAGTCATAGGAAGAAGGAGACCAGCTCTGTGGGGGGGGTTATTATTGTCCCCCATGCAGAGGAGGGACAAGGCTTCAGAGGCTGTGTCTGGATGTGTCAAAGGGTTTCAGCTTTGTGGAACTGCCCCAGGTGGGTGGCTCACTTGAGGGGTCCTTTAGGAAGTGCTGCAGTTTCGATAGAAAGTGTCCTCCCAAAAGCTTCATGTACTGAAGGCTTGGTTCCCAGCTGGTGGCACTATTTTGGGAGGTGGGACCTAGTTGGAAAAAGTCACTGGGGGTGTGTCTGTGGGAGCTGTAGCTTGTCCTGGTCCCCTCTCTGTCAATCTCTCTGCTTCCTGGCCACCACGAGGTCAGTGACATCTGCCACAGAACTGTCATGATGTTCTGCCTCACCATGGGCGCAGAATCAACAAAGCCAGGGACTATGGACTGAAGCCTCTCAAACAGTCAGTTAAAATAAATCTTTCCCCCTTACACTGTTTATGTCAGGTACTTTGTCACATCAACACAAAGTCAGAGTAACACAGGAGTAATGGGGTCATTCACAATGAATGGCTGCCCTGGAGGAGGGCGGACAACAGGGCAACAGAAGGCCAGCTTTTGTGAGTCAGGCCTGGGGTCTGAGATGAACTAGCAGGATTTCATCAAAGAAAAGCAGGGAAGGGCCACAAAGGAGACACGGGCCTTTACTATAACACCAGGAACGAATCTCAAGGAAAGCAAATTCCAGCTGCATTGTTGTACTCTGAATTCAGGGATGAAATCTTCCTGTGTGTGTGTGTGTGTGTGTGTGTGAGAGAGAGAGAGAGAGAGAGAGAGATCATACACATGCATACCCCTGCATTCTACACACAGAGCAGACAAGAGAAGGCAAAATGTCCCAGGTACCTGAAGACGGAATACTCCTTAGCTCGGGCTTCTTCATGGAGACTTCCTTTCTGTTTCAGCATCAGCCATGGAAGTCCCAGGGCCCAGAAGGAGTGAGAACTATGGCTGCATTTGGCCAATGTATGGTAGGTAAGTTTCTTCACATTCGTTACTCAGCAATCACTTGTTGCACACCTATGGTCTGAGTTGTTATGGTTTGCAGTCAAATGTTCTACCCCTGAGCTATACCCCCAGCAAATTCCTTTAGGTCGTGTGGGGAAGGGATTTGAACTCCTGTCCTCCAGCCCCAAGGTTTGAATATGGTATTTGTCCTTGGTGGCTATATCCTGTCCCCGGATCCCCCTACTTTCTGGCCACTGTGATGTGAACAGCCTCAGCCACAGACACACACACACACTTGCCACCATGATATTTTGCTCACCTCAGACCCAAGCAATGCATCCAGTTGTTCTTGAACTGAAACATCTGAAATAAATCTTTCCTCCTAAATTCTTTCTCGAGTATGTTACAGTGACAAAAAGTTGACTACAGTGGGCAGTTTTGTGCTTTCTCTTTTACCCTCAGCTCCCCCATGAGGTGGGTAGTAAGGGACCCATCTTTACAAGCCCAAGGTGAGGTGACTTGCACAGGGCAGAGAGATAGCAGCAATTTGTCTCTGGCCACCTGTTGGCAAAGCAAGAGGGCTCCCTAGGAAAGCTGGCTGGTATTGACAGAACCTTCCTAAGTGAGGAGCAGCATCCCAGCCTGCAAAGCATGCAACAGGTGAGAGGCAAATATAAATTCCATCCCTGAGTGCAACTGCTGCCTTCACCAGATGTCCTTCAGACATCACTGCAAATTCTGGCATGTATTTTATTTTATTTATTCTTTATTATTATTTTTGTGGTACTGAGGGTTTAAACTCAGGGCCTTATTCTTGCTAGGCAGGCACTCTACACTTGAGCCTCTTCTCCAGCCCTTTATGCGTTATTTCTGAAATAGGGTCTTGCTTTGTGCCTAGGCCAGCCTAGACCGTACTCCTCGTACTGTGCTTCCCTGCATAGCTAGGATGACAGGTGCGCTACACTGCACCAGCCATTGGTTGAGATGGGATCTTGAAAATTTTTTTGCCAGTCAGGGCTGGAACAGAGATCCTTTCAATCTCTGCCTCTTGAGTAGTTGTATTATATACTTGAGCCACCGAACCCGGCCTCAATTTATTTTTAATTGATACATAAGAACATAAAACTGTACATATTTAATGGGGCACCACATGCTATCTCGATATATACCCTCCATGATCAGGTTAAACATCTTATTTATCATTTCTTTGTGGTGAAAACATTCGAATTCTCTTCTTCTCGGATTTGAAATGTGCAGTACAGTGACATTACCTACCGTGCCTCTACTGTGCAACTGCAACCATAACTTTCTGCTCCCATCTATAACTTAGTACCCGTGGACTCAACCTCTCTCTACCCTCCCTCCCCATTTCAGATTTTAAAAAGCAGAACATGCTTGTGCTTTTGAAATGAGATTTCTCTTTGGGATGCTTTGCAAAGACTGAACCTTCTGATGTACCTTCGAGCCGCGCTCTGCGGAATCTGGGAAACTGGGACCGCAAGAAGACCCACTCCAGCCACTGCGGCTCCTTCCACTTCCCGGAGCCGACCCGCCCCTGGTGGGAGAACCCATTCGCGGAGGGCGGGGGGGTACGACGACTCCCCATTCCTCCCGAAGATGGTCCAAGCCATCCTCTAGCCAATCAGACATCTTGTAGCTACTTTTCCCAAGAAGCGTCGGAGGAAGTAGGCGGGAGATATCAGTGATTGACATCACCTGAGACCATTTGTTAAGCGAGATGAAGTTGAAGAGCAGATATTGCTACGAATTGTCTCGCGAGAAAGAGCTGTTAGCCTCGCCCCTTTCCCCTCCTAGGTCTCCCTGAACCTTCGCTGGGTGGAAGTTTTTGGCTGCAGCCAATCGAGGGACAGCGGGAGGGAAGAGGTGGGGTAGTGGGCCCCGGTTGCCTGGCTAACGCGTTTGGCTCGGTTCTTTGGACCAAGGGCTTAGGGTTGTTTCTCCCAGTTCCATAGTCCGGGCTGGGGGTGAGGGGCTAGGCCCGGAGCGCGGGCCTCGTCCCTCCGCCTGCACTTCCCAGGCTGTCTTTTGGGGTTTTGAGCCGTGCCCCATCTGGATACCTCCTGCTCCCTCCCACCTTAGCGCGCGATATCCGCCCCCAGCCCCGCCCGGGAGGTCCAGGCCCCATCCAGTCCGGTCCCACTGGCCTCAGGCCCTGGGGATCCGCCGCCTCCTCTTCCCCGCTTAGGCCACCCACCAACGCCTCTAGCAGCCGCTCTTCCCCTCTCTGCTTCGTGGTAGTGATTGGTTACCATGGTGAAGCTGGCGGCCAAATGCATCCTGGCAGGTGAGTCTGAAAACTTGCGCTTCAGTACAGTGGTCCCCAGAGTCCAAAGCCTTCATAATTCATCGGGAGCTTTTGTTCAAGTAAATTATCTGCTCTCTCTCTGTCTCTCTCCCAAGGGCCAGCTGCTGCAGTTACTGATAGAGTAAATTCCATTAGGCGGGGAAGAATTACCTTCCAAGCACATTTGTAGCTCCTGCCCATCTCCCCCACTCCCCGTCGTGCTGTGGGCAGAAGCTACAAACCTTCGCTGGTTTGACTGTATTGGGGAGGAGCAGATTCGTTTAACAACCAGCCTTAAACAAACCTGAAGTGCTCCAGCCAAATCATTTGTTGTGTCCCAGAGTTAGGCATCAGTAACTTTGGTAGCCTTTATTTATTAGATTTGTTTCCTGACCCCATCCTCTCTGATAGCAGGGGTAGGAAGAGTAATGCAGAGGTGAGGAGTTCTAAGAGGCACCTGTTTGTTACCTTTAAGACCCAAGGTTATTGTGCTGCCCATTTTCTGGAGGACATACACATTGAGTCTCCCCAAAGGTAGGAATCTGTTTTGTTGGCCAAGCACCCAGAACAATGCCTGGAACATAGTAGGTACTCAATAAAAACTTGTCGAATGAGGGTCGGACATGGTGGCCTGTAATCCCAGCAATTTAGTAGACAAAGATAGGAAGATCAAGGTTCAAGGACCACCTGGACAAAGGTTAGTCAGACATCATCTCAACAAATAAGTCACGGTGGCACATGAAATAATCCCAGATATTCAGAAAGCTGAGGTAGGACAATCGGGGTCCAACGCTGACCTGGGCAAAGGGTAAGACCCTATCTAAAAAGCAAACTAAATACAGAAAGGGCCAGCAGAATGGCTCAAGTGGTAGAGTACCTGCTTAGCAAGCACAAGGCCCTGAGTTCAACCCCCTGCCACCACCAAAAACCAAAACCAAACCAAAGCAAACAAAAAAACACTTGTAAATAAATGAGCATGTGGCATTTACATTTGTAGTGTTTCCCTTGTATTGTGATTGCTTGGATTGTAGACAGAACACATGTATTTTACTGAGTCCTTACTACACGCTGGGCACGTGTATTTCATTTAATCCTCTCCCCATGGCACACTGGGGTAGCTTCTGTGTTGTCCTGATCTTACCGATGTACTGAGAGGTGACACTCAGGGCCAGCCAGTGGTTACTGTTGAAACCTGCAACCTCTCCAGGCTTGGCTGAGCAGCTCAGGAAAGAAGCAGCAAGCAGTTCTATAGAGAAAAAAATTATTCCTTTTTGTTCCTTTCTTCTGGACTGAAAGTAGATGACAGTATTTTTAATAGCTTGTCTAATTTGAAAATAAAAGGGTCACACAGAAAAATGACTGACAGGCATAACTCAGATCCTAGTGGAGCAAAAGAAATTAATGGTTCTCCAGAGAGACTCTGGTTTCCCAAGCACCAGAGGAGGCAGTGTTGTGTAACGAAAATAATTCTGGCTTTTCCTCTTCCTGGCTCTGTCATTTTGGATGGTGTTTCTCTGAGCTTCAGTTGCCTCATGGATAAGTCAGGAACATTTTCTTTTCCTAAAGTTAGATTTTAAGTGGGCTTCTGTCTCTGACTGTCCTCTTATTTCCTTTTTAGTTCAGCTCCCGCATGGAGCTGCCTTCCTGAGCACTTGCTGTGTGCCAGCACTGTGCTAGACCTTCGAATAGGTCACCTCACTGAGTCCTCACTATACCTGTGGGGTTAGCATTACGGTCATCCTCATTTACAGATGGGGCAAATGAGACCCAGAGCAGTGAGGACACTTGCCCTTGGTCACACCACTTGCAGTGGCTGAGCTGTGTAATGCAGACCCTGGATCCAGACCCAGGTGGTCTGATTTCCAGGGCTTTGTTCTTAACCCAAGCTGTACAATCTTCAAGCCTCACTCCTTTTCCCAACCATCCTTAGCACTTGTTCCACCAGGTTCCAGTCAAGTCAGTGGCCCCTGACCTCCAGCCCAGTCCTCCTTTCAGGTCCTCATGAGATCTCTCCTTGGAAGTCTCCAGGACCAAAAGACCTCAGCCCAGGGAACCAGCCCACCTTAGCAACATCACCAATCTCACTCTATCCGCCCTGCCCCCCCCCCCACTAGCTTTAGGTTTCTCCTCATCCACTGTGGGCCCACAAGCTTTTTTTCATGTAACTATGCCTCAAAGGACCTGATCCTCAGTTACTGAGCATCTGCTATTTGTGAGTCACTGTGCAAGGTACAATCAGAACACAAGGATGTACCCGCCCAGCCCCCTATCCAGGAAGAAGTCAACCATGTGCAACAAGTTCAAATGCCACACCATGTGCCTTGCACCTGTGTGCTCTTTTTCCAGAGGAGACCTCAGTGCACAGTGGCTACCTGTGCTGTTCAGATGGAGAGAGAAGCCCAACATTGCCATTTCTCCATATTACTACTTAAACACACTTAAGCAGTGCTCCCCATGCCAGGCACCTGGCGTATTAATTCAAGTCCCCATAACGAGTCTGTGAAACAGGTGTAGCAACTGCTGCGGGAGGTAACTGATACAATGTGGCACAGTTAGGCAGCGGTGCAGCCTGGCTCCTGAGGCCACCCTTCGGGATGGTGCACACTGTCTTTCCATTCATTGGGGATGATTGTCTTCCTCCCTGGAGAACGATTCTAAACTCAGATCTCACGCTTCCAGCAGTGATCTGCATAGCCACCCAGGTAAAGACAGGAGGGAGGAATGACCTTAAAGGTCAGAATGGCAGGGGCAAAACTCAGCCCAGGGAAAGCAGCTGCCCTCCTTCGGGGATAGTCCTAAATAGGAAAATTCACCTCCCAGAGCTGACTGATAGGGTGTCTAGGTCCGAGGTCATGGAGGCATTTTGTGTCTTCCCCTGTCCTTGGAAACTGCCCCTCCACCCCCCACCAAACCACCACCCCTGCCTCACACTCCTCCACACTGTTGTCTTTTGGGGCTTAGCTAAGCCGTGAACATTTCAAAACCAGACAGACCTCACTTGGTTCACATTCTGAAACTTGGGAGAGAGTTAGAAGGCAGGTTAGGGTGGACTGTAGAGAGAAGAACCTCGATGGGTGCTGAGGAGAGTGAGAGGAAATCAGTTGCTGTGCTCTGCGCTACTCTGCTCTGGGAAGTTCCTCTGCCGATGCTGGGCTTTTCCTTCCTGTAGTGCAGCAGGCCAACAAGGAAGTGTTTTCAGTCAAGGCCTTGTTGAGAAAGCAAGATGTGCTGAGGGCAAAGCTCAGTGCTTGCCTAGCATGCCTGAGGCCCTGGAGAAGCCTTAGCACCACACAGCAAAACAATAACATGTATCGTACATTGCAACAGGGATTTTTTTTTTTTTTGCAGTGCTGGAGTTTGAACTCAGGGCCCTGTACTTGCTAGGTGAGTGCTCTACCACTTGAGCCACACCCCCAGCTGTTTGGCTTTTAGTTTGATTTTTAGACAGGTCTTGAGTTTTTGCTCTGGCTGGTCTAGGACCACAATCCTCCTACGTATCTAGGGGTGTAGGTATGAGCCACCGTGCCAGGCTCGTTGGTTGAGATGGAGTATTTCACCTGGGCTGGCCTTGAACTATGATCCTCCTATTTTGCTTCCTGAGAAGCTGGGATTACAAGTGTGAGCCACTGTGTCTGGCCTGCAACAGGGAAAGTTTAGTAATTGGGTTACTCCTGAGAAAGTCAGAGGAAGCATGGACAGACACTGGGATAGATTGATGAGACTGTCAGAAACAGAAAGTCCCACAGAGCTGAGTGCAGTCCTCTGAGGATGGGTGCAGTCAAGCTGGTATGGAACCTCAGGAGTTCAGTCCCCAGCGAATGATGGCCAGGTACCATAGGTCACAAGGACCTGGTTCCCTCTGGCAGGAGCTCAGACTGGTCCGAGGAGGTCCTGCATTTTGAGACCTCGGCTGGCACTGAGCACTACTTAAGTCAGGGTCCAGGTAGAACACGGAGCCACGCTAGATGAGGATTGTGCTAGGGTGGTAATTAAACATGGAGACAGTAGGCCGCTGGAGCAGCTAGGTGAGTGACTGCAGGTGGGAGCATCACCCTGGAGCTGGGGATGGAGGAGGGTGGGCTTCCTCCAGAAGCTCTAGAAGGGCACTGGGAGCCGAGGACAGACCCCTGAGAAGGGTGCTGCCTGCCATGCTGGGGCCCACCTGGGAGTGCACAAGCCACAGAACTGGAAACAGGAACAAAGGCTGCAGCTGAGCTGAAGGCCAAGCCTGGGGTGGCCCTGAGGGAAGCATGGGGAGATGTCTCCCACTCCCACTCCTGCTCCTGCCTCCCATTGGCAGAGCTAACAGGAAACTGGCAAGAAGGAGAAATGCCTTTGCAGAGCCCCAGTCCAGTGCAGCAGAGGAGAGCAGGGAGGGTCTGGTGTGAGCGATGTGCTCCTCAGGGCCAAGTCAGGAATGCAGGCTTGAGGTGCAGCCATGGATGGGAGGAAGGAAGTGGATATGGATGGGGAGGAAGTGATTGTTGTGTCTGGGAACTGCAAGGATGCCCTGGGGCATGATGAGCGAAAGAGTGAGCCAGGTGAGTGAGCGTTCAGAACCAGGGTGTGACATGGCCCGGCTGTGACCCACCGTTCCCCTGGAAGCCTCCACACTTGCTGGGAAAAGGTCCTTTCTTGGGCACTGAGAGCCAAGTATTGAGAGTAACAGAGCAATAGGACAGACAGGAGGGTCACTTTCAGGAGGCGGAGGAGGAGCAGACAGAGGGGTGGGAGAACCAGGCCAGTGCAAGGCACCAGGGCCTGCCTTGGCTGGACGGGTCTGGCCCTTCAGAGACAGGGGTAAGAACCAAGAAGCACCCATTGAATTTGGCGGCTCTGCGGCCATGGGCAGCCTCCCATCGTGCCTCTGCACACGGTTCTGTCTGCCCAGGCCACCTTCCACACTGCTGAGCCTACTCACTCATTTCTTTCCTCGCTGCTCCTCAGATGCTTCAGTTCTCAGCTTGTGCTGTTTGGACTTGCACTTGTCATCTTGTTACTCTGCAAGTGTGCTTATCAGTTTCTTACCTCCCTGTGCTCGGGTCCCTCCCTGCAGCCCACACAGGAGGTTTTCCGCAAGTGTTGGTGACTGACAGTCAGGAGAAAGATTTGTGAAATTAGCCAGAATTGATCTGGGGGATTTCACAACCAGAAAGAGCCAATTTCTGACTGGATTCAGGAGCAGAATTGACTGGGAAGGTGGGTGAAGTCAAGGTGCTGAGGAGGAAGGTGCTAGGTGGGGTCCAGAGGCCCTGCAAGGCTACAGTGATCAGGGCCTGGAGGAAATGAATGGGCCTGAGCGCAGGAGGGGAGCCGGCCTGGTGGAGAGAGCATGGTGTTGGACTCCCAGGCCAGTTACCCAGCTCCTCTGATCCTCAGTCTCTTCATCCACCAAATGAGGTTAGTGTGCTCACTTTGGCAGGGAAAGGGGAGCGTCTCATGGGAAAGAATGAACGGGTTCATGAATGAGCTCATGACAGGGGCACACGTTGGTTCCCTTCTAAGAAGTGGCAACAAGTCCTGAATAGCTCACTGAAACCTGGAGGAATTCATGTACAGTGAAATGCCACCCGGAGTCAAATAATCATCTCACAACAGGAAATTATAGGTAGGAAAAGGCAAAACCAAAAAGTGAACAGAGTGGCAGACTGTTGAGAAGTAAAGCAAAGAAAAGCAGGAACGTGAGTGTAAAATTGGGGAGTGAAGGTGCCGAGATTGTTCTGAGTGCTGCAAGGCGCAAAGGCTGGTGCACTGGGGATTTGCTAAGGATCAAGAGGGTGAGAGCAGAAAACAGGTGTCCTGTGAGGGAGATGCTAGGGTGAGAATCTGTGTTAGACTCAAGGTGGAAAAAATGCTACAAAGAAAAGCGCCTGAGGAGGAGCATCGGAGGAGGCCAAGCAGGGCCACCAAGGAAAGGCGGGGAGGGCGGAGGGTGATCAGACAGACAGGGAAGAGCTCCAGAATTCAGTTGCTCCCACAGTCTTGTGAAAGGCTCAGATTTGGACTGAATGTGGATGTGGACCTTTAATTTTGAAGTGCCCATTCTGGGGCTGCTGACTAAAGGTAAGGCGAGCCAGTAAACCTAGCAGGTGTTGCAAACAGAAAGTACAGTGAGCTCTCATTGGTCACCACGGAGCATGCTGAAGTGGGCACAGAAGATGTCACTTGGAAATGGATTCTTGGAAAGGCTGCACCTGACTTCTTGTTTCCTGTAAGTGCAGACAGTTACAGGTAGCAGCTCTAAATGCAGGTTGGTTCTACAAGGTGAGGCCACAAGTCAGCCCACTCACTCCTCTTTCCTGGTGAGACTGAGTAGATTCAAGTTTGAAAGTGACGGGCTTCCCCATGGGGCAGGCCTCACTGGAAGACTGTCACTCTGTGGCCCGGGCTCCAGGGCCCTCCTTAACCTCCGTTACCTCCTGGTCATTCTTTTGGATGGAAGAGTTATATACATAGAGATATGCTCTGGCCACAGTGAGCTTTGAAGATGTGTTTCACAGACCCATTACCCTGCCTGTGACCTCCCTGGTTCCCCTGAGAGCCAAGGACAATTGCTTTGAAAACTCATTGAAATTTTCAGTTCTAGACAAGTGAGAGGTGGCTCTCACTAGGTGATGTGTTTCTTCTGCCCTGACCTCAGGAGATCCAACGGTGGGCAAGACAGCTCTGGCGCAGATCTTCCGCAGTGATGGGGCCCATTTCCAGAAGAACTATACCCTGGTGAGCTGGAATAGGGGGTCCAGTCCCAGCCGTGACTTACATGAAGTGACAATTCACCCTGAGGGAGGGGCTTTGCAAAATTCCTGGAACATGCCCTGAGAGGCCACACCAGTGGCCACAGGGAGATGGATTTTCCATGAGCTGTGGGGTGGACTGCCCAGTGCACCACACAGATACCAAGAGCAACAGCTTATGTGTGGTTGGGAGGTAGGGAGACTGGAAGGCCCTCTGAATTCTACATTCAGGGGCCTTTTCATCAGAGCACAAACACTGGAGGCAAGGGTGTCCCTCCAGGGAGCCACGCTCTCATCACGCCCTCCTGTACTGCTCCACTGTGGGGCCTCTGATGCCTGCACTGTCTGTGCTCTCTGCAGACAACAGGAGTGGATTTGGTGGTGAAGACAGTGCCAGTTCCTGACACAGGCGACAGTGTGGTAAGACTGGGTTGCTCCCTGGACCCCGGGTCTCTTCCCTAGTGAGAATGTAGTGTGAAGCCTGGGCTTACATTCATCTGAGCATCAGGGACACAGGGAGCATTCAGGGGAGGCACTGTGGAGGGGAGGAAAGGACTGGGAAATGGTTCTTGCTGAGAGAACTGGCCGTCCAGTAGCAGGGTCCCTCCATGGGAATCCCATGACTCTTGAAGTTCAACTTCACGATGCTCACCTTTCCTGGCAAGTGGGTGTAGCTCTCACAGAGGTCCATGAGCGCAAAAGAGAAAAATAAAGTAGATGAGAAAGACTAATGTAGAAGTGGTGCTGGGGTCAGAAGCCAGTCTGGTGGTGTCCATGTCAGGAGGGGGTTGGAGGAGCTGTCAGGAGCTCTAGATGCAGCAGTTGGAGCTGTCAGGGGCTCCAGGTGCAGCAATTGGGAGGGCTGGGGAAGACTAGGATTGGTGGAAAGGGTCATCTGGTGACCCCCGTCCTGCTCTGAATCACACCTTAGCCATCCCAGAACAATGACAGACTCTGTCCTACTTACATGCCTTCCCCAGGCCCCCTCAGTGACTTCCTTTCAGAAGAACTGTTAAGATTTGAAAATCAATTTGGCTAACAAAGTGCAGAGTGACCTCTTGGAAACCAGAGCTCTTGTCAGCCTGTTTAGCACTCTGTTCTGCCAGGTGAGGGTCAGCCTGTTCCTGGGACTTTTGCACTCAGGGTTAGGAGAGGTGAGCCACCTGCCACACGGGTTGTGCAGGTGGGGTGGGAGCCAAGGTCTGCCTCATGGGGAATGGCTTCTCCTCATCGACTCTCTTGTGCCTGGGGGAACGTAGAGCAGGTATGAAAACACACTGGCACACAGGTGCGTGCATTTCTCCACGAAGTCAAATCCACAGTGAGCTGGGAGAGATGGCAGTGCCTTGTGGCCAGTGGCTTTCCCACGTGCACACTTTGCTGGGACGTGCTTTTCTGATTCCAGGAACTCTTCATTTTTGACTCCGCCGGCAAGGAGCTGTTCTCTGAAATGCTGGACAAATTGGCAAGTACTGTGCTCTTTCCTAACCACCGCGACCACCACCTCCTTATGTGCCCCCAACCGTGCCCCTTATGTGCTCACACTGGAATGTGACTGCAGTGGGGCCGTCGGGAGAAGCTGCCACAGCAAATCCTTCAAGGAACATTGCTCCAGCTGGGGCTTGTGGCCACTTGGCAAGTAGGTGTGGGTAGTGCCTGTGCTGGCCACCCCGTAGCTCTCAGTTGGCCATGCTCCAAATGCACTGGAGCCGTGTGGTGGTCCTCGCAGCTATCTCTCCAAGCCCCTCCTGTTGAGCAACACCTCCTGAAGGTGTTCTTTCAGGACGCTTCTCGTCCTTCCGGGACATTGCCCCATGTCCCCATCCCCTCTAGAGAGTGACCCAGCGCCAGGAAATGAGGCTCTCCTTCCTTTTCTGGCCCCCTCCTCAGGGATGATTGTTCTGCTGGGCTTTGGAGCATGTACCCCTGGTGCTGCCCAGGGCTCACTGTGCCCTTGTTCACTTCCATTTGGCAGTCCCCTGAGGATCCAGCTCACAAACATTCCACCACGCGTGTCTCCTTAGCCTGGGCCAAGGAGCTCGCTAGAAGGCTGGGGTTCTCCAGAGCCCTCCTGTCTTTCCAAGAGCAGCCATATAGTGCAAATGTTTCCTTACCTGTGCATTTGCAGTGCCAAGCACCTGCAGGCAGCCTGGCACTGCCCATGGCCAGGAGGTGTGCACAGGCAAGTCAGGCCCCATGCGTCCCCTGAACTCAAGCCTCCCTCCAGCCAGCCCTGACTGCTGGCTCACTAGCTCTGGCTTCAGCTGGATCACAGGCCTATCAAGGTCCTCTCCCTGAAGCCTGGACAAAGGAAAGCTTCCTGAATTGAAGCCACCCTAGGGAAGGTCCGTGTGGTTCCAGTGAAAGCAGGGGAGGAAGACAGGCATGAGGCATCATTGACCCTGCCCAGCTTCTCCTACCCTGGACACCTCTGGGAACCAGCATAGCCTTAGCTAGTGCAGAATGATCCCTCCAGAGCCAGTCTTGGTCTGGCCTTCCAGGAACAACTGGGGGGTCACTAACACCCCAGGCAGAACCAAGCTGTAATCGTGCAGGATGGGTGCTTAGAAGGATTCCCACAGCCTGTGCAGGGCCATCCCACATCCCTGTCAGTGGCAGACAGCAGAGTGTCCCGGGACTCTGAGCAGCCCCTGAAATTGATAGTCAACAGAGTAGCCCTGGCTCTTCCTTGGCCCATGGAGCCCTGTCCAGTTGTTGGTGAGGAATGCACTGGGGCTGATGCGATACTGCAGGAAAAGTCGAAAGTGGCTGTGGTTTTGCAAAGTGGCCCTTATGAGGAAGATTCAGGCAGACCTGCATCCAGGGACTGGTGGGTGCAAGAAAGGGAATTTCCTCAGGCCTGCAGAGTGGAAGCACTGCAGCTCGCCTGGCAGAGGACTGGCTAAACAATTATGGAAGAATGAGTTAGTGAAACTGGGGGCCAGTGAGAGCAAGAGAACAGTCTTGGTCCAGCCTGGACCTGCCAGTCTGAGCACACGGCTGCCCTCTCTGAGCCCACTTTGTTCCACTACACAGTGGGACTACCCAGAGAGACCCTGCAATGCCAAGACATTTCAGTGATGCTCAGAAAGCTGCAGCCAAGTGCTGGCTGGGAGGAGAGCTCCCTTCTCCCCACCCGGCCTGCCACTGATCCTGGCCACCATCGTTCCTGTGATGAACTTCTGTGTTAAGACCCAGTTTTCTGGCTAACACCCCATTTGGGTTTTTCACACCCTCTTTCCTTTCATCCCTTACTCGAAAGCCAGATTTCCCCCAGCCTAGGGGTCCCTTTCACATTCCTGACATGCTCCTCTATGCAGTGGGAGAGTCCCAACATCTTGTGTCTCGTCTACGATGTGACCAATGAACAGTCTTTCACCAACTGCAGCAAGTGGCTGGAGAAGGCTCGGTCCCAGGCTCCAGGCACCACCCTCCCAGGTAGGAGCTCACACACCTGTGTCTTCTAGCAGCACCTCTGACCTCAGCTCAAGAGTGCAAAGTCATTGCAGAGGTTGCTGTGGTTCAAACAGAGCACTGAGTCTTTGACAACCCGGGCAATGCCTCTTAGTGACCACACAATCCTCAGCGAGTTACCAGCCCTCTCCATGTCTGTACAGTGGGAATGATGCCACACACCTGGCAGAGGAGTGGTGAGACCAGGAATTAGAATTTCCAGAAAGCTAACCCCAGGGAAGAATTCTTCATTTTCTCCTGTGTGTGGGGCACAAGTTGCATTCAGGTCCTGTTGTCACTTCTGAATGCTTTAAATCAGTTTATTTTTCATCCCTATGTGAAATCAACAAATTCTGCTCATTAGAGACCAGGGAAAGCGATCTCCAGAGATGGACTCAGAAATTAACTTCAGCCGATGCAGCTGAGAGCAGAGCTAAATTACCTCCGAGTCCCTGACTCTGCGTCTGGTCCTGAGATTAGCGCTAATGACCTTTTCAAAGCTTGCTCCATGTGCTAGGAATTATCACAAATGCTCACATAAATTTGGCCCTCGCCTTGCAGCTTTAAGGAGACAAGGGACACAGATACATGTGAGGCCCAGAGAAAAGGCTATCCACTGAAAGCAAAGCCCGCCTGCCCTCTATGGCCTTGGGACCAGCCCGAGAAACCCTGGCTTTCAGTGCTGGTGCTCACCACTCTGAGTCAGTTCCTCATCTCATACAATGCTGCTCAGAAGCAGCGAGCCAACTCCTTTCTCTCTCCGCTGCCCTCCCTGCCTGCCACCATCAATGTGACATTGTGGTTGTTTCTGTTGAGTAGGTGTTTTAGTGGGAAATAAGAAGGACCTGGCTGGCAGACGAGCTGTGGATTCGGAGCAGGCCCAGGCGTGGGCAGTGGGCCAGGGCCTGGAGTGCTTTGAAATATCCGTGGTGAGTACTTCAGCTTGCCGCGCCGGCCAGCCAGCAGTGGGCCTCTGCTGGAAGGGCTCTCACGACCTCAACCGCGTCCAGCTTTTCTGCAGCCATATGCACAGTCTGTTTGGAGCTGGTGTTTACATTCCAGCCCACCCTGGGGACAGCACCATCTCAGTTAGAAGTGGGTGACCCTCAGTTTCTCTGGTCCTGGATGTTTGTAGGATATGTTATAGGTGAGATAGTGTTGGTCCATGATTTCTTGGATCCCCAGTCAGTCCTATGAAGAAGGAATTGGCTCCCCGATTCCCAGTTCAGCTTGAGGAGGTAAAGTGACCTGGTCAAGAGGCTTGCCATCTGTGAGCAGGCAGTGAGCTGTGTACCCAGAGCATGCACAGCTCCCTAATCCCTCTTCCTCCATTCACACTGTGAAACTGTACCTCGCCCCATGGAAAGGATTGCCAATGACCCAGGAAAGGGTTGGCTGAGACCTCAGGTCCATGGCTTCTCATTTCCTTCTTGTGTCCTCCTTGCCACAGCTCCAGGATGACTCCAGGTCATAAAGTGTCCAGCAGGAGCCCTCTTAAAGGGAGACTAGGTGACCTGTTGCCAGCATCCTTTGAGCACATGCATCCTGATCCAAGCTGCCCAGTATTGTAGAACCCCTTCCTACATCTGGGGGAATCTCAAGTTGCAGCCTCCCTGCGCCCAGGGGCTGGCACGTAATTCTGGTTACACCAAGAGGATGACCGGTTATAAGCCTTCCCTGTGAGAACAGGGAAGGCTCAGAAAATCTGTGTCAGAGCCAGTCATGGCCCTAGCCAGGGAGCTCCACCAGGCCTGCTGCTGCCATGATTGTAACTGTGCTGTCACTTTGGGGCCTCAAGATCTGACTTGCTGGCCCTTCCAGAGTCAGCAGGCTAGCACATAATCCTAAGTATCTTCTACTCAGCCTCCTTCAGCTGCAGCTTGTGCCATGGTCACAGGTACGAAACAAGCCAGTCACTGTGTGGATATGAACCTCTTAAATGCCCCTGAGTGGCACACTTCCACTAGGAATGTGCAGAGGGCCAGTGCAGGCCCTCTGCCCTCCGATGGCGAGAAGCCAAACTAGCTGTGGGACCCTGGCTGTGCCATTTATCCATGGTGCCTCAGCCTCCTCACCTATAAAATGGGCTCATAGAATCTGCCCCTTGTTGACTATTAAACATGAGAACGAAGTAAGAAGGTGAGTATACAACACTTAGCACAAAGTCTAGCTCATAGAAGCACTAAATAAATGTTAGCTTTTTATAAAGTATAGATGTTCCCTGGGCATCTTGTTTTTACTGTTACCACTTACTAACCCTTGCATCCATGGCTCACACAGAGATAAATTCCACCCTTGCCTCTGGCCCAATTATCACGAGTGCTAAATTAATGAAGTTCAGATTAGAGAGCTTGCCCTGGGGAGGTGTGCCCTCTGTGCAGTGCACTTTTGAGCGGGCACCCACAGCACCTGTAGCTCCCTGGGCCGCCTCCTCCATGCACACTTGTGAAACTGTCCCCTCACCATAATATCCTGTATTTCCCAGAACTCAAAACTTAGGGCCTGCCCTAGCATGAGTCACCCAAGGCTGTCAGGTGCGGCTGCATGCTTTGACTCTGCTCAGGTGTTGGAACGGGCGACATGAGTTATGCTTGAGGAGGCCTCGGTAAGCAGTCGGTTTTAACTGCGCCAGTTAACTAGTCCCCCCTGAGCTGACGCTAACAGCAGCTCTACTGGCAGCTCGGCTAAGAAAGCTGTAATTAAAAAGGAAATATAACCAAATGCTGTTTGAGACACAGCCAAGTCTCGACGCCAAGCCCGTCTCCTCGCTTCTTCCTAAATGCAGCAGTTATCAGCTGCCCAGAGAAGAGACTTACATGGTTCTCTGACTTTCTTACACCCCTTGGTGTTAGACATTTTCAGACCAAAAACATATTCAGAAGGATTGCTTTAAACAGAAGTTAAAATTTTTTGAAAACAAAACAAACCCTATTGTTGGTCATTGTAAGACAGTCTTAAATATGAACACACTGAGGGTTGAACCATAGGGATAACTGCCCTTCCAGGCAGCAAGGAGGAGGAAGCTGACATTTGTTGGGGGCCTATGTGTTAGGCATTTTGCATACTTTATCTTTTTTGTTTTTTGGAAATGGTGCTGGGGTTTCAACTCAACATCTGATGCTTACTAGGCAGGTGCTCTACCACTTGAGCCATGTCCCCAGCTCTTTTTGCTTTCATTTGTTTATCAATGAGGTCTCGTGCTTTTGCCTGGACAGGCTTCAGACCACAATCCTATGTCTGCCTCCCATGTAGCTGGGATTACAGGTGTGTACCACCACAGCCAGCTACACATTATCTATTTGAGCTTTCTAGCAGCCCAGCAAAGCAGCCACTCCAAAGGCTGTGTGGCTTTCCCTGATTGCACAGCCAGTGAGAAACAGAACCAGAACCAGGACTCAGGCCCATCTAGCTGGAAAGCTCAGGCCTTCTAGAAGGGATACTCATGCCGACCTCCTTCAGAGCCTGCTTTGGGACTCGGGGACAATTCTAAGCCAGACTGAGGACTAGTTTGAACCTACTCTACAGATCCTTTGCTCTATCAGTGTCCAAACTATGTAAGCGACATTATGACCATGCCTGTCACTAGACAGGACTGCTGTCACTGCAGCCTCTCTCGTTGTATTGGGAGAACCACTCAATTTCCATCTATTTCAGGAGCACTCCAGGGGGTCTGTTGAGGCGCTGGCATTGAACTCTTGTTATGCTGGGTTCTCCCAAGACCGTGCTTTGGAGAGCTCTCGAATTCATTTAGAAATCCTGGTGCACCGCTGTGCAGGCTTCTTTCTCTCTCCATTCAGTGGTGAACTACTTTGAATAGATGGAACATTTTGCTGATTGACATTGATGCTGCCTGGGACTCGTTCCTGTGTGGGAACTGACTTCTTCCTCTTCTGTACATCTGGAGGTGACAGCTTTCGGGTCTTGGCAGTTGTGGACTTAGTACAGGTGTTCAGCTTGGCTACAAACTGCCTGCCCCTTCCCGGCACACTCAGCATTGCCACCTGTTTCCTCTTGCTGACCATTTCCCTTGCTTGGGTTTCCCTGGCTGGAAGGCCAGGTGGCTTTTTCCGAGGACCCGGTCTGCATTGCACTTGTTGCTTACCGGCTGTGTCATGGAAAGGCTTCTCAGATTGGGGATCTGGATGCAGGCTGGGCTTGGCACCAGCCAGCTGGGCTGCTGCACCTGCTGAGCCCCAGCCTACTCATCTGTAAAATGCAGTCACCACGCATGGCGCTTCTGTGACATCCTCACTCTAAGCATGCTCCCATTTTGCTGGGGCCACTTCACAGCCTCTTCTCAAGGCTGTGCCTTGCCAGCTGCTGAGCAGCATTGCAGACAGGTTCTCGGCAGTCATAGCTCCAACTGCTGTCTGGGCCATGGTGGGTTCTTCTGCCAACTTCTTCAAAATTGGCACAGGTGGCCGGGCATGGTGGTACACAGCTGTAATCCCAGCACTTGGGAGACTGAGGCAGGAGGATCATGAGTTCAAGGCCAGCCTGGGTCACATGTCTCAAATTAAAAAAAAAAAAAGGAAAGAAGGAACAAAAACCACACAGGTGCCCAGAGTGAGGGAACAGCAGCCACGGTATTGGGAGGATACCATGTGTTTGCCCTACCCATAGCTCCCCAGAGGGCCTGTCGTGAGAGCATTTGTGATTCCAGCGCTTGTGGTTGTCAGGATCCACTGTGGCCTGCTCTGTGCCCACCAGGTCATTCTGTGGGGCTTCAAAGATGTCCTGCCCACCCCCATCAGTGGAACTGTGCATTCTTGATGGGACATGACCCAGCCCCTCCCCATGGCCCCAGCACAGTCCATTTAAGATGGCTGCAGGCAGGGTCCCACTTGCTGGTCCTAGAAGCCTGCCCATGCTGCAGCCTGGTCGTGTGGCAGGAGGAGGCAGTGTAGCTGCTGGCTAGCAGCGTTCTCAGGCTGGGCCTTCAGGACGGCCAACCCCTGTTGCACCTCACTGCCTCCAAGCCTAGGTCCAGCTTGGTTTCCTGGGCCTGGGCTTTTGGCAACTCCCCCACTGGCTGGAGGTCAGGGAAGATTACACACACACACACACACACACACACACACACACACACACCAATGCCACTGCCCTGACCATGTTCCCCAAGACATCTCCACCACCCCACTACACTTTGACCCTGGAGGCAGGGTGGGCCAGATCTGACAGCTCTTCCCTGCACCTTGGAGCTCTGCTGTTTTGCTTTGGCCTTTGGGATCTCTGTT